TTAAAATTAAATGAATGATGCACTATTTAAGTTGAAACTAACCTATTAAAAATAATCATACAATCCTATATAAGTAAAACTATATTTCGACTGCTTCTAAAATGCTTCTTTATACTCATTCATATGTATATTAATAGTGTTCTAAAATAAGTCTCTTTAATTATCTTTTGTTTATCTTTTTAAAAACAATGCAACATAAACATCTGCTGTATTTAGGTGTCAAAAATAGATTTTAAAAAACAGTAAAGTATTGCATTTTCGTAATTTATTTTAAATAGTTTAAATTTCTTTTTAAACAAGAAATTTAAACCCTTTCTAGCATAATAATATAAAATTCAATTATATACGTTTTATACATGTTTAGATCTGATTACATGTCACAGCAATTTATATATTTTTTAAAATTTATGGAAAGTTTTAACATAATTCCATTTGATATATTTCTTTTTTTCCTTTCCTAGTTTGATGACTTTTAGAAAATGATTGAATCCTAATAAAAGATCCATCTAAAAGAAGTGGTTTAAATATATTGCCAAAATAAATAGAAGATTATTGTACTGATAAGTAGTTTTTTAAATTTTTTTATCTAGAAATTTTCTACATTTCTAACAAAAGGAAAATACTTTTTAAAGATAACTTATGCAGCTCTTAAATTTCATTATTTTGTATCTTTTTATTGAAATCTAAATATTTATGTCAAAAATAAATAGTTTTCGTAACATACTGATTATTAAATTTTTCTTCCTTAAACATTTCTAAATATTAAATTTACAATTTATTAATTTGTATTTATTTTCTATTAATTTGTAGTAATTTCCATTTTTATCAAAAATATTTAAAAGTATTTAATTAATTACTTTGATTCGTTTTTGATTTGGGACAAAAAGTAAATGTTTAGGATAACATTTTAAATTTAATGAGCAAGCGTATAATTATAAATTCATTTTTAACTCTTATTTATAGATTTCCAGTGCAATTTTGAATTTCAAGAGACAAAAAGGAATTTCGGAAATTTTTTGCGCCATCTTATGGAAAACTTTTTGATTGTTTTAGAAGCAACATTATTATACGGTACAATTATTATACAATAATTATACATACAATATTAATTATAAAATTTAACATTGAAATATCATTTACATCAAACTAATAATATGAAATATTATTTACAACAAGTGAAGCGCTAAAATAAATCCTATTTCAGTTCAAGTTTAACCATATATGGTTTAGGCCGCAGCAAATAATAATAATATAATATGGTTTAGGCAGCAACAAATTTAAATGACAATATGGTTCAATAGGTTCAAATTTTATTTAATAGAACAAACTGCTCCGAAAATATTTTGAAATGCATGATGGTAGCAACTCATTAAATAATATAGTCGGTAATGATCTAAACTATTCTCGGCAATGTTTACTATAGTCGGCAGTGGTCTATATTACAGTCGGCAATGGATACTATACTCGAAATTGGGTATTATAGCCTGCAATGGGTACTATTTTCGGCAATTGTTTATGCTATAATCAACAATGGTCCATACTATAGTCGGAAATTGATACTTTGGTCGGAAATGGTCTATACTGTAGTCGGCAATGGTTTATACTATAGTCAGCACTATAGCCAGCCAGTCAGCAGGGATATTATTTTAGTCAGCCACTATAGCCAGCCATATAAAATTTGTATAGTAGCAAACACAAAAAAAAATTTATAGTTGGAAAATATTCATTTAACAACACTGCTAAATATTACCTGTATGCTCCTGGGACAAAATTTTGTAGTAAACCAATATAATTTTAAATAAAGCAAAGTAAACAAAAAGGAACAAAAAAAAAATAAAACAAAATTTTTAACAAAAAAAAAATAAAAATATTTAAATTTAATTCCTTAAAATTGCATCTTTGGGTAATCATTATTTGGTAATCACCAACTATAGATTTTATAGTAATATAAAATAACTAATGCAATAGAAGGGTACTAGCACTCCATGGAAATTTCTGTTAGCAGTCATTAGAATGCAAAGAACAATAATAACGTTCGTTCGTAAGTAAAATGTATATTTTATTATTATGTTATATTTTGGTAAATAAAAATAACCTGTTTCTCCCAGAAATATGTTAAAAGTTCTGTTACCGATTTTTAAATTTTCTGAAATCTATTGAACTGTAATTCTAAATTTATGAAGCAAGTTAAAAACTAAATTTTTTTTAACACTTTTAAAACTAAATATTATTTCAAACTATAAAACCGAAATTATGCACAAACTATCAAAATTGAAATGTCATTCTTAATAAAAATGCGATTTTGTTTTCAATGCATCGAAAAAAAAGTAAGAAATAAACTTCATAAATTCCTGTTGAAAATTATTTAGTGACAAGTTTATGTTTTTGCTGGAATAGACTTCATAGCCGCATCAAACAATAGGTTCATTACTCGCCGATAAGTTTGTCCACAAGTAGCAACTATAAGTTCCTAAACAAAGAGTTCGTTGTATTCGGTTTTGATTAATGAGAAATGAAAACGTGTTTAAATCTTGGATTAAATATTTACCAATCGATGTTTATATTACTTTTGAGGTATTAACTAAAGAAAAATAGGCATTGTAAATATGCTATTATGTATTTTTATGTGCACTGTAAAAAATTTTTTGTATTTTGCCGTGCAATTGAAGAAAAAAAACAATGAAAGTGCTTCATGATGGATTTAAAAAGCAGCAAGTAACTTCTTTTTTTCACACCGAGAAAAAAAAAGTATTTTCAAACTACCAGAATATGGTAAGCATTTTCGTGGTTTTGGCACTATGGGAACACCAAACAACGTAATAATTTTTAACGCATTAAAAAATGTAACTATATTATATATAAATATAATAATAGCGATTAATGTTGATAAAATAAGAAATGAAATATAGTTTTATAATGTGTGACAATATTTAGTAAATGTAGTAAATTTGGTAATATTATCTTGATACCTTAGAGCATGGCATAAAAATCATTTGTACGATTAAATTTAATTCTCAGTTTTGTGTTTTTTACTGATTGTGTGGTAATAAGAATTATAATTTAGAAAACCTTTTTCGGTAAACCTTTACCATATGAATGGAAAAATTAACAAATGAATGGTTTAAATCTTGGTGAATGGTTTAAATCTAAAAAATGGTTAAATCGCCAAGGTTTAAATACAGTATATTTTGGTTTTATTAACTGAAAGCAAGCTTTTTCTACTTTAATAGAACTGTCATTACCCTATAGTGCGCTAATTTTAACGCATTTTTTTCCGATACGAACTCTAGAATAGAATTTCAAAACACTCTAATTTTTCATAAAACAAAATTTATTTTTGTTAAAAAAATTTTGGTCAGAGTAGCTTATCATACAAAAATGCTAAATATATGAAAATTTAAATTATGAATTTCTTGTAACTTTCGTAATTTTTATATAACACAGCAGTATAGTTGCCACCATTTTAGGTGTTGAGATAAGCTTAAATGTTTTAAAGTGAAAAAACATGCTAGTTTAAAAGTAAATAACGAATATGTGCAGTCACATTTTTTATTTACTTTTTTGTTTAAATGTTTACTGACAGCACACATTTTCATGAGCATTAGAATAGATTAAATGGCTTAATTGCAGAAACATTTAGTTTACAAAGCAGGCAACTGTGCAGCCATTAATGCTCCATTAATGTTAAAAAATGCATTTAGTTGACCTCAACACCAAAAATGGTGGCAACTGTGCAGCAAATTTCTTTACTGTGTACTTATGTTGCAAGCACATATTTGAAGTAGTCTACAGCATTTCGTTATTATTTTCTAATAAAACCAGAAAGTGTTTCAGTGATGATTTATTAATTTTTAACGAATAAGTGATTATTATTTTTAGTGATTATTATTATAAGTGATTATTATTTAGTGATTATTACTTCGAAAATTTAAAAAATTATATTCGCTTAGATTTTTTTCGAAATTTGAAAAACTAGTACTATAATTCAAATTAGAAGAATTTAACTTTTTAAAACATGCCTTTACGACAAACTTGTTAGCATTTTCATAACACTGTATAAAATAATTAATGTAATAAGAAAATCTAGATCAGTATGTATAGTTTCTGGATTTCTTATATTTTTCATTGAAATGAGAAAACAGATACATTTAACACATATATAAAATACATTTATTTCATAGCTTACTGTTACATTTTTTGATAAGCATCGCTATTTTTTTTCTCCATTAATTTGTAGTGTATATTTTAATTCTTGTTTTGGGATAAAAAAAGTCATTTTTTGTTCAAGTTAGTAAGAATTATTCGAGTATTTTCATTTTTAAAACAATAAACATAAAAACTATTATAGACACAATCGAGAAATTCATATTTTTAAAGGGAGTGCAGTATTTCTATCGTACTTTTCACAGAAAACAGATGGCTAATAGATTTATTTTCAAATTTTTTTTCTTATTATGTAAAATTTATGAATTATATTTTTTGTTATAAGTTAATAATGCATTACATTTTTTTTTTTATTTCAGATTGGAAGCCATGCAACTTTTTAACTTATTTTCAGGATTAAAGATGCTGAATTTTCTTGAAATTTGCTTACAATTTAGAGTATTTGTAAAAAAATCTTTTTACTTGTCTTTATGTGCAAATTCGCAACTTTGGTGGTATGAGAAAAATGATTCGCCTTTATCGCATTCATCGCCTAAATGATCAATTAACTTCGTATTTTACTTTATAATAAATTTTTATTAGTAATGATAGTCACTAATTTATCAATTCTCTTTTTCAAATTTCACATGAACATAAAACCTCATTGGAATCCCCATAATTATTACAAAATGATGAATAATTTTAAACTTTTTTGTTTTTACTAAAAATTTAGTTATTTTATTCCATATTTAAAACTTTGAATTTAGTTAGAGTTAAAAGGAGCTTCAATTTAGTTGCAATAATTATATTTTTCATATGCCAATGCAGAGAATGTAAATAATACGCAATATAGTTACCACCACTTTTTAATGATGTTTCTTGCCAGTTTATTTTGCAGATCTGCCCTTTAGTAAATACCTATAAAGATTAAAATGATATAATATGTTATTTGTAATAATATATTATTTAATTATTAATACCAATAAATATTTAATAATATTCCCAAATGTAAGAGATAGCAGATTATTTTACTACGTAATTCAAATCTTTTATAATCACATGAAAAAATATTCTGGTTAAATTACCGCACTGTATAGTAATGGCATTTCTTTCAAATAAATAAATATGTAGCACATAATTCTGTTTAATAAGACTAAAATATACGATGCCTAAACCATTCATTTGGTAATTTTTCTCTTATATGTTTACCGGGATTTCTGAAGAAATTTAACCTAAAAAATGGTGTCTATGCCATACTATGAAGTATCATGATAACAATATCAAATTTTATAACTTTTACCAAATTTTATCACATGTCGTAAATTTTATAACATATTGCCAAATTTTATCAATTTAATTAAAATCATTATCAAAGCACTTTAATAAAATTTACCGAGAATTTTGGTGTTTCCATAGAGCCAAAAGCAGTGCAAATTTCACTATGTCCTGGTAGTTTTGGCCACTCCTTTTTTTTCGGTGTATTTTTAAAAATCCTTTTTGGCAATTGGTTTAAATTAGGAAATAGTCAATATAAAGTGAACTAATTCATGAGAGTGATAATAATTTATTAAATATTCTTTAAAGACAATGTTCTTTCGCAGCTTTTAAATTTTTTATACCACTGTCCCCTCATCATATCACTTCTGTTAATTGATAGTTTTGAATTTAATAATTTCAATAATTTTTCTGTTAGTTAATAATTTTTTCAGTAAAGAATAATTTTTACTGTTCAAACGCAAGTGATACTTTTTCAATGCTTTCTTCAAATACATAAACTGAAGCATTTTGAAAAATACTTACATCCAATGATTTATTTGAGTTTTAAAACAAAGAAACTAACAAATACTGAAAAAAAAATACAAATTCAGATTTTATATTTTCTTAAGACTTAAACTTAAATATTTTGGTGTTTCAATCATTAAAACTTCTGCAAATTATGTGCTTTTCAAAAGTATTTGCTAATATTTGACTTTTTTTTTTTTTTTTTTTTTTTTTTTTTTTTTTTTTTTTTTTTTTTTTNTATATATTTTGAAGGTTTTCCTTGCAAAATGTGCTTTTTGACCTGAATAATAACTGAAAAGAAACACTGATCTGGAATTTTCATCCGAAAAAGACCAGAACAAAAATTTTTGAAAAATATTTAACGTTATGAAACTAAATATTTACCTAATGTAATAATATTTTGTTACACGCTAATATAAGATAGATTTTTGAATCTGATAAATAAACTGTGTTGACTAATTGCAAGAAAATAAGAATTTGTAACTCCTGAAATATAAGACAATAGAATCAACTTCAAGTGTTTATAGTGCACTATCTCTTAAGGCAGTACACAATGTTAAAGAATTGTTGTTTACATATTTTAATTTAGCTCACTATGAAAGTGTATTAATTTAGTGCAGTATTTTAGCAATATTTTTCAGATTTTAACAATATAGTTCATCTATCATTTCATGTATTTTTTTAACAATTTTTTAATTCGCCTTTCAAAGTGTCTTCAGAAATGACGAATTAAATTTGTTACAGAAAAGGATCATAGTTTTTATCCAACAAAAACAAGTACATTTTTATAAATATAATTTTTTTAAAAATAAACCTGGAGACTTAAAATCATTGATAAAGAAATGATTTCCGTTTATAATAAATTAAAACTCATTTATGATAACAAAAGAAGTGAAAAATAGTTTACTGATACAAATTGTTTTGGTAACTAATTTTTTTTTCAAATCATGAATTATTCCTCTGAATCCTGTAGAACAAAAGAACGCATTCTGGATAATTGAATTTTAATTATTTATTAATTGCATTTGAATTTTTATTATATAATGCTAAACCCTTTATGAAATTTTCAAATGATTGACAACATTCAGAGTAAATAATATTGTATTTTTATAGGCTAACTGGACATAGATAATTGAATTTGCTGAAACTGCGCTGATAAACTACAAGAAAATTAGAATCTGATGAAATTCAAGAATTTATAGTTCCTTTGAAGACAGTATATATTGTGGAAGTATTGTTTTAATGTAGTGTAAGCATTTTAATTCATATACCATTTTATATATTTTCAACAATTATACCTTACATTTATTTACAAATGTTGAGTGAAATATTTTTTTTCTCTTACAAATCAGATAAAGCTTTATCAAAACAAACTTATAGGCTTAAATTTTTCAATATTAAATGTAAGTCATATTAGTGCATTAGTAATATTAGCAATAAACTTGGCAATATAAATTTTTTGTAAGAGAAATTATATCTATTGATATTAATTTACGGTAATATTAGTAATGAAATTTTAAGTTTTTTTTTTATCGTTGGAATTTCTTTTATATTTTTTCAACTGACTTTTTATTATGTTGTTACTTAATTCAATTGATGACTTTTAAAGCTTCTTTAAAATGTCTAATATTTTAATATCTTGAGTACTCGTAATGATATTTTTTTAAATATTCTAACGTATTCCATAAATAAATAGATCAATCAAACTTTAGTTTTGAATTGTAATCAGATTCCTTGAAAGTTTTATTGTGGTTTAATTCCAGTTCATTTTGCTTTTTCAAGAAGAGAGAATTGTGTGGTTTTTGGTTTACAAGAAGCAAATATACTTATGCTTTGTACGTATATGTATACTTATATATGTATACTGATACTTCATGCATGCATACTTATGTTTTAGTTCTTTTTTTTTAATAACTCAGATATAAATGTACGTATCACAGCAAGCAAATGATATAGATGCGCATAGTATTTACCTTTTTTGTTAAGATTCCAATAGTTTTTTTAAGATTTCTATACATAGTTTGATATATTAGATGTATTCTTATAAGCAATAGACTCTTACATAAGCATAGATAGATTTTAGACTTAGATTTAAAATAACATTTACAAGTTGTTTTAATAATAGTAGTTGTTTTCTAAGTTAAACTTGGTTTTTCATCTATGAAATCTGAATGACTTATATTTTTGTAATATCGTTTTTTCTTGTTTATACTAATCATGATTTCATTATTCGCGACCTTGGTTGTCTGTATTCAAATAAGCAGTGTTTTACAAAGCATTAACAATTTTTTTACTTATTTTCATACTAATTTCAATTCTGTCTTCTACAGTTCTAGTTATTTTCAAAACGAAGCACAACTGTATACTTAAATAATATAATAAGTGTGTAGAAATCATATTAATATAATAGTGCCAATAAATCAGTAAGAGATGATGAGTTACGCTACTAATTTCTAATACGCATGTATTGTTTTTATGACTATGCAATACTATACTTGTTTCGCATTTACTATATTAATGCTTAATGTATTATTTTTATATTTTTTTTTTGATTGCATATGCGATTTTTTAACTCAAATATAGTCCGCTATCTAATAATATTTCTTTTTTCTATTTACCATACAAATAGCAACAAATAGAATAGAGCAATGTCAACGAATAGAAAAAAAATGATGCAATGATTTTAATTATCAACAAATGTTTGAAAAGATAATTTTTTTGTCCAAATTTCTTAAGATAAATGTTTCGGAAGACATTGGAAACATTTCATAGAGCAATAGATACTTTTATATCAGCAAAATCCAAAACATCTTCATATGAAATATACATTCATAAATTTTTTTTTCATCGTAAAAAACTAATTAAGCAATTTAATTGAAACATTAATACATCCGTCATGAAATTCGTAATATGCTTTTGTTATGCACCTATTTTTGCTACGAATGTTGGACTGTTTTAATAGAATGAAGCTTGAGTTAGGCTTAAGATACATTCACCAAAATTTCAAAACAGAGGCTTAAATTCTTACCTGATTATAAAAAAATGGTGTGTATTTATTGTAGACGATCTTAGTCCTCATTTCTAATTATTCTTTCTGGGTTGTATTGAGCTCAATATGTTGTCAAGATGTATATGAAATGTACACCTTTGGTATGTGCTTGTCTTTCCTTGCCTTTTCTGCAGATTCTGAGGTACGCTATCAGGAAGGCTTGTCCTATTCTAGCTTTAAAGAAAGCCAGACTTAGTGGAACATCTCATCAAATAAAAACTTACTTTCTCCTATATTATCAAGACATAAAGTTGCTGATTACAGCAATAAAAAGACTTTATCTGGATTCTGATTGGTCTAAGTTTCTAAGCAGAGAAGAGCAGAATCCGCCATCTTGCGCTTTTGGACCAATGGCAGTAGTTGGTATGCAATCAGGGCCAAAAGGTTTGGGGGGTCCCAAATAATATATTATAAGTAATAAGAATAATTTTAAAAATTCTTTTGACAAATTTGCATAAATTGTACTTCTATTCTGTTGATGTTTTGCCACACAATAAAAGCTACTCATAATATTTGTAGAAGTTTCGAATACTGTAGAGTTAGTCTTTTGTGAAGCTCAAACTTTGATTGACAGGGGGCTGGATATATTGGTAATGATATGGATAATAAGGTGGGCGGGAGCAGACCAGCTATCTTGAATAGTTAGCATTTGTGTATTAAATGGCATGTCAACATCCGGTCTGAAGTCTGAACAGTGTCGCCGCCTTTCCACAATTCGGAAAAACTTTTCATCATAATCTAAACCAATTTTTTGATGTTCCACAATTAAAAATAAAATAAGGACTTTGGTTCAAGATTTTCTAGACATTCATATCCAGGTAATACGAAACACAGTAATAGAAACTCTGTTGACTTTATGCTTCAGCTTTTATACTCCCATTTGTTTGTTTATTTCATGGAATACAAATTAAATTTATGATCCCATAAAAATTTTACGATTGTAACTTTCCTTTCACAAGATCCTTGGTTATACGATTTTATTGAGTCATTGCCCATTTTAAAAAGTTCTTTCCGAATGCTAAGAAAGTGCAAGTAGTACTACTTTCATATGCAAGAAAAGAAAATATAATTTTATCAATTTAAAATTATTCTTATATTTGGTTGGACTAATTGAATATTTATTGATATCACCAGACACATTTCTGCAAATATATCTCCACAATTTACAAGTTTACACAATCTACTAAATCTCAAGTCATATCTTGGAAACTTGATATTTAGTTCATACCTGTTATAGAAATCATAATGCAAATTATTTTACATATTTTAATTTAAATGATGAATCAAGCGATTCTTCAATCTTCTGGTGAGAGAAGCGATGTTACAATTTTAAAATTTATATATATTTGAATATAGAATTCTGTAATGTTAAATATTGCAAGGAGAAAAAAGTTCTGGAAAAATTACCCTACTATGTAGAGACATTTCTGATAAGAAAAACTATAATTCTGCGATTAAAATCAAAATATTTAGAATTTAAATTATATAATTGTAATCAATTCTAAAATATTTGGTATTTATTATTAGTATTATTTAACTAAAATATTTGGTATCAGTTTGCCCGAAATTCTGGTTTTTAAAATTATGGTTATATTACGGCAAGTTTAGTAAAAAATGGAAAACAGAAAATTCAATTTGTCGGAATAAATGGCTTTTATGCCATGCTCTAATGAATCATGATAAAATTAACATATTTTACGGCATTTAATAAATTTTATCTCGTATTATAACACTATATTTTTTAAGGTTAATTTTACCAAAATCATTACTAAAATGCTTCAGTGAAAGTTACCGAGCTTTTTGGTGTTCCTATAGAATCAGCATATGTTCCCATATTCTGGTAGTTTTAACCATACTTTTTATGCCATTGTGTAATATAACAATAAAGTGAAATTTCAACCAACAACATAAAAATGTCCCATTATAATTAAATCTAATTATAGTAAAAATCATTTATTTCTACATGAATATTTTGAATTGCATAAGAAAAATAGCATCATTGGTATTGCTATTTTCCAGTTGAAAACAGTCCTTTTTAACAATGAAGAGTTCATTTTCTTCATTAAAATGAATTCATCGTATTTTGAAAATCTTGAAATCAATATGAAAGTTCGTTATCACTTAGCACGGTAACAAAATCAAACATATTGTGTGATGTAGTTCATTTATCAGATAGTTATATTGTTTATAGTGCTAATATTCATGTTGTGGGACCATACAGTATATTTCAATTTTCAAAATAAAACAAAAACAATGCAATCAAGAAAATGTTTACATGCATGACATACTTTAAATAAAACAGTACTTTAAATAAATATGTGACAGTGGTTTTTTACTTTGTATAAGATACTTTGTAAGCACTCTCAAGCTAATTTAGATATAATAAAATAGAAACACTACGCTCAAATGATTTAGTCCCTGATAAACTTTTCAGATACTAATACTACTACTTTGATAAACTTTTCAGAACTATTAACTTTTTCAAAATTTAAAATTTTTTTATTATGAGAATATTATAAGTTAACTTAGCATATATAAAATGAAATTTCTGCTCCAGAAATTCTCGACTACATATTCTGCATTACTGTAACTATGCCATATAGCAACTTTTCTGTCGTTAAATATTTCTAATAATTCTTTCATTTTCTAATATTAATGTTATAGTGCCATGTAGCATCTTTTAATTTTTGAAAAATTTCTCCTGCTTATGTTTTTTCCAATATTCATTTTATAGTGTCATGCAGAACATTTCTTCTTATGTAATAAAGAGTTCTGTTTATCGTAACAGTTGCAGTCGAATATAAGTGTCGAAATAATTCATATCCTTTAAAGTTTTGGAAATGTACGCAACATAAGTTAACGTATCAAATTTATTTATAGTATATTGTTATTTATTTATTTGTTAAAGTATCAAATTAATTACATTATTTCAATTGTTTTTAAAGAACTTATTACAAATTGGCGCGGAAATCATGATTGTCGATTTAATTTAGTGAAGCAATGTTAGCATTTTATCAAAGATATTCATCATAAAATCACAAATGAATAAATTGATTTTTGATGAATTTAATAATTGTTAAATAAGTTGCTTCATTTGCACTGATCTTCCATCTCAACCACTGAAAAAAGAAAAACACACGCGAAAAAAGCTTTTTCCTTTTAGTTGAAATATTTTAATGAAATAACAACATTTAAAAGCTATTATTGTAGTGGAAAGGTAATTCGAATATAAACTCACGAATACGTTTTAAAATTAAAAAGAAATATAGATTTATATTATTTTTATTTTTATTCCTATAATAATTCTATTTTATAGTTCATATCAATGTTTCCTGCTTTATATATATACATTACTTCTACGCTTTCACCTCTGTAACTTCAATTAAGAATTCGTTAGTTTAATATTATTCTGTTTATTCTTATTAATCATGGCAATTTGAAATACTTGTATTTCATAGTTTGAAAGCATACTCTCATGGCATAATTTTAGGAATGATAAAAAAAAACTCATATAAACTGTACTAACTAGAGAACATAGTTAATCAAACAAGGTATCCAACATAACTAAATATATATAAATATGAAATATACATAATATCTTACATAACTAGCTAAATATACATAATATAAAATGTATAGTGATTATATCTGCCTAATCAATCTAAGTTAGATAAAATTGACCATTATGGCCAAAATAGCTAGTTAATATATAGCATAATTAAAATAGCTAGATATGATATGAATAATAGCATAACTAAAATAACTAGATATGAATGCGTTAAATAAATATGAAAAAAAAAATTTGGTGTTATAAATGAACATTTTATATATAATGTTTTTGTATTTTGGCAAAAAACGCTTTACAAATTTGAAAAACCGTTCGAGTACTTTGCCTAAAAATGCTTTATAAATGTGATACAGCGCTACTGTATTTTATATAAAAATTTGGTAAATAAGTGACTAGCGTTTCTGTACTTACCATAAAAATGCTTTGTAAATAAAAAACGAGATCCTAATAAAGTTAACTGTATGTCAATTATTTTTGTTCAATGAATATTGAAAAGCGAAATTATTAATTTATAAAAGGAAATTTTGGTTTGATGCATGTAAGAGTATGCGTTTCATCGTAAATGTGTGCGGTCTTTTCGATAAAGGTTTGCGGATTCTATAATTGAAAATTTGAACGCTTCGCTTGAAACCACTGAATGTAGTACTCTTCTAAAACACATGAATTAGTGTGACATATCAAAATTGGCATAGATTTAAAACATACCCATACATGTCATATAAAAAGACTTAAAAATAAACTTAGCTTAAAAAAAAAACTGCAGAATTGTTTTCAAATTAAAATTGAGCTAAAATTAAAGAAAAAAAGAGCAAATCGAACTTCAATACATTTTTCATAGATTAACAATTTAAGACTGTAAAAGTTTTAAATTAATGCCAATTTTTAATTAATGTTTTAAATAAATAAGTTTTAAATTAATTAATTTAAATTAAATTAATGCCGTATATTTTAAATAATAAAATAGAATTGTTTACTGTTAAATAAACAAATTAAAATTGCTTCAACAATGTAAATACTGAAGTGAAAAATAAAATAACTAATGAATTGAAAATTTAAAACAATAGAATAAGTGAAAATCATAATGGTATCTATAAATGTTGTTTTGCGCTTAGTTATTTTGTACTTTACAAAAAACAGGTTTATATTTGAAATTTAAATTTCAAAGAAATAAAATTTTTAAGTTTCTGCTTTATGGATTGATTACCTAAATAAAAAAATTTTATTAATACGAATTTTTAAAGCTTACTTTTACTAAAACCCACTAATTTTCTAGTAATAAACAATAGTGATTATTTTATTTTTAAAAAAAATACAACTTCCAAAATATGGGAGGTAACTCTAACAATAGCACTTTCTCTGCAATTAACGAAATTGAATCAACATGAAGTGGAAATGAATGGACAAAAATAACGTTTCTTAAATATTAGTAGTTGTTTTGATAACAAAATGAAAAATAAATAGCCCTAAATGAATGAATTAATTAATTTCAAGAATTTCTATTAATTTTGAACAATATCGCATGAAAATAAATAATATTTTAAAATTAAAATACTAAACTTGTACGTATCTCAATAAATTTAATATGTGAGACCTTCAAACTCATTTTGTAAATATAAAGTGAAACAAATCAAGTCTTGTAAATAAAAAGTGATTTTGTAGACATAAATTCTCTTTATTGTTCTCTTAAAGCAGAAAAACCAACTGCTCCGCTTTCCAATAAAGTTTTTATAAATTTAGAGTGGAGTGAATTATAGAATATTAGGAATAGAATAGAATACAGAATTTTAGAACATAGGGAATTGAATAGAATACAGAATTATAGAATATAGTTAATTATTGTTATTGAGAGACCATGATATAACAAGGGATAATTATACTAAATCTCTAAAAGCCTTACCCCAAAATAACTGCAAAACTGTTTCATTTGATGTGAGGCTTTCAGATTTTGAATTGCAATGGTTGAAAAAGAAAACGTAAAATCAAACTTATTAAACTAAAAGGAACTCAAACTTCACAATCACTAGAAATTACTTATTTTACAAAGCATAGCAAATCGACAACTTTGCTTAAAAGAAAATAATATACAATGAGAAGAAGATAAATTCCTTCTTCTTTCC